CCGTTTTTGAAAGTAGCCGTTTCAGTTTAGTTCTTTGACTTGAAAAGTTTCACATAACAACATCGTTAACTTACATAACACCATAGCTTTACTTAACAACATGGGTAACGGACCAATGAGGTTCTACAATTGAGAGAGAAGAAGTAAAATTGTAATGATTCGAACTTTAACTAATCAGCTGTTCATGACAATTTCATTGTTGAGTGGTGCTTTTAGTATTTGATACTATGTTTCATTGCATATCACTGTCAGTGGCAATGAGAGGTTATAAACAAAAACATAACCTCTCTTGAAAAATTATAAATAGTGATTTCAGTAATTAAAACACTGTCGTGGGTAAAGTTAAGTACGCAACTCGCGTAAATAGTGTTAACTACACGCGTATAAGTTTTAAAGACACTCGCCAAGGCTCGTACCTTAAATCTTTTACTCGTGTCGTTAACACTATCTTAAAATACTGTACTGCCACGTGCTATAAAACAATTTAAATACCACAAATAATAACACAATCGTTGCGTAAACTTCTATTACCTAGCCTACCGTAACATAACCTAACCTAATCCTAAAGCGAGGGATAGCTAAAAAATGAAATCTGTCGGATTATGTCGGTTATTCTGTGGACACAACGGATAATTAAAACTGATTTGTTTACAATTTGTATAAATTCAATCTTTAAATTGAGTATAAACATGGGTTTATAAGGGTGAAATTCAATAAACTACAGAACACATACATGCAGCACCCAATAAAAAACATCGACTACTATTTTACTTACCAGATGTATTTAGTGTCTTCCCAATGTCCTCCCAAATCTTGTCCTTCTTCCTAATATTCTTGTAGTCTTTGTGATTGAGGTCATACAACACAGGATACGTATATACAACTTCAAGCAAATGTTCAGTTATGCACGACATGGTGTTGTTGTTGTTGTTGTACCACACAGCAGACAGGTGGAAACCGATTAGTTCAGTTTCTTTCCGCAATAATACTGGCGCGGGAAGCGCTGCAAACGCTGCATGCTGCGGGAAGCGCGGGAAACCGTAGTGTTCCCGTTCCCGCCTCGTGCCCGCTTCCCGCAGACCGCGCCGGTGTGATTGGTTTCATATCCCGCAATGGTACACGCTGCCCGCGCGGGAAATTCTTGGAATTAAAATCGTTCCCGCTCCCGTTCCCGCGCCGGTGTGTACGGGCCTTAAAACCTAGCGTCCTACAATGATAAGATATAGCACTGCTGCACCAACAGTGACCCGTACGGGCATTCGTCAGGTTCGCAAGGTAGATCGCACCTGTAATCACATTCTAAGCCACAGCTAGACTAGAGAGAGCGAGACTCTGGTCCTGAGGCACCAGGTTCAAATCCCGCCAATCACCAATGAATTTTATTTTAGATAATGCCACTACTCTAGGACTAGCCTAAAGTAATGTGTAAAACATTTCCAGACAAGAGTCTAGCGTCCTAGGATGTGAAGGTACCCAGACTGTAGACAGGTACCAGCTCGCGTGTATCTAATTATCGCTGCCTCCGCGCCACAGCCACGTAAACGCTGTATTTCCACTCCGGTTTTTGTTTATTTCGCCGCCACCGCTACTCCCTCTTCTCATTTTCGCCTGTTCACGTTTTCTTCTCGTAGACCGCTTACTTTAATCACGGACGGGAGATTGTACCGAGGTAATTACAGCGGAATCGCCCAAACTGTCCGTCACAACGGAGGGACTCAGGAATGCGGGGAACTTAAACACGGCGAAATAAACTGTGTGGAAAATATCACACAATGTATTTTGTCAAACTTTAGTAGTAAGTAACAACAAGTACCAATATAATAAACTGGCTATTGTTTTAAGTAGTAACACGCTCGGTACTCGAGAACGATAAATTATTTGCCTGCTCCTGCTCAAGTATATGTAGATGTTTGAATCAATTTTTAGTATTTTTAAGGTTGTTTTAGTTATTTTAGTTTTTTTATAGATGCCAGTTTTAACCCGTTTGCTGTAAAAAGATTTATTTGACCTAGAATTCCTCATAATTCTGTATACAAAAATTGTTATGCGAGCCATATGTTAGCTGGGAACCTTTGTTCGAAGTAGGAATATAAATCAGAATTAGAGAACTGTATTCTGTTTATCGGTTCACGTTTACACGATTATGTGAGACATCAAGAACTCGCTACTGTTGGTCATAAGGCCTTATAAATCCCCTAACCAGATACCATTAAACTTATCTTTCTTTAATTATTCATCCATTTCATGTTGTGCCAGTTTCAACCCTGGTTCTAAGTAATAAGATCTGTCCAAACTAAACATATGTATAGTTTCATAGACTCCGCGTAAAGAGGATCACTCCATATGTGAAGCCTGTAGACGTTTCCGCGATCACGTCATCATGTCAGCTGATGTATCGACAGTCTTGCAGTCTTGAAGCCCAAATCCGAGGGTTGGGTGTAACAAAAAGTGACTACTCGGTCTGGCCCACTCGAGTTGAGTTTGAGGGCCCATTCCCGTGCTTTCGACGGGGGCCAAAAATAATCTGTTATTTGTGAGTTTGCGACTACTGTAAAAAAGTTGCTAATTAATTTTTAAACAACAAAATCTAACATGGCATATTTACTAAAAACGCAAATATATTACGTTTACGGAAAAAATAATTTCCCATTGTTTAAAGTTAGACTTATCGTTGGAACTATAACTTTTTACGGTAGGATTTGAGACATAATATAGGTTTATTAGACTTAGGGAGCTTAATTCAGCCTGCGAAGCTAGTTTTTAAATTGAATTTATCTTCTTTATCTTCTGACTGAATTGAATCGGCAGCCTTTAGATTTTTAGGCGATCACTACAACCGTAACCAACTAGCTATTTTATCCAAGCAGAAACCCAATTTCTGTGAAAATTTGCTTTCGCTAATTCGGATGTACTCGAAGTTATATGGAATTAAAAACCTCCTCCATTTACCGTGTTTAAATATCATAATTGCTGAGGATTATACTAGGCAAAATGGAATTTCCAAACAATTAACTCAAACATAATGTCCACTTTAGGTCCACTCGTACAACCTCCACACTTCAAATCACCTCCTTGCTGTTAGCCCCGTTGACCAGTGGCGTGGGTGTATACATCGATGTATATAAGGTTATATACATCGATGGGTGTATACAGCACGTTCGACAGTAACCCTTACCTGACACAGGTCACGTGACCGGTCAAGCAACCCCTACACTGTGATCTGGTAAATAAATGATGTAACACGTGGTACCAGTAGCCTACCTCAGAGTAAAATACGTTCAATCCTGGTTAAAAAAAATATTCAACCATTACTAGTTCACCGATCAATTATTTCCGCAAATTCATGGTCATAATGCCAGTTAAATGGCATAAAAATTATTTTTGCTTTGAGAGCTTTATGAAATATTTTCAATCATTACTTTTTGGACAAACGCGACTAAGTTGAGGGGTTTGGACAATATGCTTACATCTTCCAAAATAATAGTCCTATTTTTTAAATCCACAACTCTCCTTGCAAACTTTTATTCTTGCTTTTATTTTTTTTCTTGTAATATTGCAAACTTACTACTGTTACTACTGTAATGGTAGAAAATGGCAGAATGTGCAATAGATCTCGAATCTACATACACTGGACAATGCAAGTAACCTCAACACAACCTATGTCTGTCTGTAAAATTTTAATCCAGCGAAAGGATTTCACTTATTGGAATTAGCCAACGATCCATAAGCGTCATATATATTAAATAAAATATGCAACTCCGTTCAATGTACTATAGCAAACCTAGTCATAATAACAACGAGGAAATCGCTATTGCAGCGGATTCCGTATGACGAATGCCTGAGTTGACAAACAAAGAGCGATATGTAGAGTGAGAAAGTGAGAAATCAGAGGTCAGCGATAGGCAGTGAGTCACCAGCAAACTGTACTACGAACTGTAGACAACGGACAAGGACAAGTTGATATATACAGCCGTACAAAGGGAGATAGAAAATACATAAACTATCTACAGAGTGCCCCGTAAGTAAACAGCCAAACTCCGGGTAATGGGTTTGTGGTAAAAAAAAAACCAAAGCCGAGTATACACATTTTTTTCAAAAAGATTCCGGTTGTTTAGATGGCGAGAGGCCGACGTTTCAGATGCGGTGCAGAAATCCTTCTTCAGGACAAACTAGGAGTACATCCTAAAAACCAAATTTGGAAATTCAAAAAATCGGTTATCTCACGATGACCTCAGAGAGGTAATAACGTACAGGAAACATTCAAACCTACTTAAGTGGTGTCTAGCACTACTCGCTGGTGTCTAGGGCAACTATATTGCTCACGGTGGAGAAAGACCCTGTGCACTTAGCGATAGGATTTTCCGCACAGTGCTCGCCGCTCGGGCTGTTCCTTGCTCACAACTATAACTATTTCCCGTTCCTGCACAACATGGGCTAGAAGAACTCGGACGTCCCATAAGCAAGTTTCTATGATGGTGCCTCATTCATTCATCCATTCCACAGTCTTTCACCGTGCAAGCTATTAAGAGCGTTTTTCACCTACTACAACATATTGTTTGTTTAGGTATATATCATGTAAAACAACTATGTAATAACATTTCGGCCAGATTCAAATTTCTTGGGAAAAATAACACTTCGTCCCACTCGCTTTTACAGTTGATTGGAGTAACATTTCTTCCCGACGAAAAATTGACAAGAGTTTAGGAACGCAGTTTAGGTAGTAAGCGGCCCATGGCCTTCCAAACTACTGGTAACCTGACCTAACCCAACCCAACCTAACGCAGTTTGTGTTGAGTCAATTTTAAATCAATGGCTTTTGATAGTTTTTAAGTGTTGTTAGTTGTTTTACAAAACTCCCAAATAGTTGGTGAAACCTTGTCAAATATTTTTTGGGACGAAGTGTTACTAGTCCGAAGTGTTAGTGGTCCGAAGTGTTGCTTGGGCCCAAGTGTTACGATTTAAAACAACCACCACGTCACCATGAAAGCTTAGATGCTTACCTGGCGAACCTCTCCTTGTCTTGCAAGCTGTCCTCCTCCATTCGAGGGTATTTGCTGCCACTAGGGTCGTCCTCATCTGATCTGTAACAAGGATAACCATGGTCAATCACGTGGTAAATATAGCCATACGATTACCACTGTAGTTGGATGAAAGAATTTCATGCAGAATTTATAGGTTTCATTGACAGTTAATAAATACAGTACTTCCTTACAAAAAACAAAAATCCCACTCACTGGGCTAAGAAAATCCCGTTTTATCCCTCCAGCTAACGCTAAAGATTATTTAAATACTATGGAAATTTTTCCAGGGTTTGGGTGGCGAACCATCGCGTCGTCGCCTCTGAAATAAGAAGGTGAAATACTTTCGGAGAATTTTTACTTCATAGATCAGTCGTTGTCGCACACTAGTAATATCGTAGCCTTGGTAAATTAAAGTGTATACCAAAAGCTATCTGATCATATCTATCAGATCAGCTATCTATCTGACAAAGACTAATTTCTTTCGCTACCTTAAGGATTGAAAGAAAAACGTTCACCAAAGATCCGACACCCGGTTGTTTCTTGGCTGAGGCTCTGCAGATTCTTTGTTGATCACAATATCCTGACAGATACTGTAATCGTGATAGACAATCGATGACAACTGCTGCTCGGTTCGGCTACACAAGGAATTGAAGGATTGACAGCAATACGTCCATCGAAGATTCAACTAAATCTGTTATTCATCTCCCAGTACTAATCTTCAAGACGACATCCAGGTGTTTGAGTCTCGTCAGATGCTTGTTGACAGTCGTGATAGATAATCGATGACTGTCTCGTGGTCTGTTCGGCAACACAAGGTATAACTGTCCCATTATCACATTATTGGACACCTCGGGGCAACGTCCGATTGGTCACCCATTAGCAACGGTCCTGCCTTCTTCTGCTCTCCATCTCCTGCTGGCCAGCGAGTTGACCGGGCGAGGACATGTCAGATAACACTGAATGGTCCATGTTACTATATGTTGAGGAATCGCGCTAGAAGTGAATATTGAATTATACCTGTAGAATCATCCTTTGAAGATAGCAGCGTCGATTGGCGTCTAAGTTTACACGGTCTTCTTTGCCGGAAAACTTAAGATTGAAATTATCCCTGTATAGATCTATTGAGTAATTATGCCACGAGAGAAAATATTAATGATTATCACTGTCCCATATGGGAAATGAAACAAGAAGCAAATATTGAACTATCCCTGTCGAATCGTCTAAAGGAAGATGGTAACGTCGATTAATTGGCGAAGTCCAGGTTTCAATTGTCTATTCCCGTATGGATATCTATTGAGTAATCATGGCACAAGAAAAAATGTTAATGATTTTATCACTGACCCATATATAAAATCAAGAAAGGAGCAAATATTGAATAAACCTTGTATCAATTAATCCAATTTCCAATCAGTTAGTTCCCCAACACAAGGTACTACATGTAATCACTAACCATGGATTTGGGATGACAAAAGAATGTAGTAAAATACTTAAGCTTGCAGTAAAAACACTAATAATGCCCATCATCACATCTGAAGTGCTTAAATCACATTTGGAAAATTTTCGAACAAACAAGATTTTTCTAAATTATATTTAGGCTATATTTATTTCAAGTATGGTAACCGTTGGACAATTGTTTCGTTTGGCGAATATTCAATGCACTAGTAATAATACATCAACTTATTGTTCAATAGTTTAACACCATACAAGCTCATTCGATATTTTTTTAATCCCTAACAACACCAATTAGCATTTACCATCTAAGTTACCATCTAAGCACTACCATAGACAAAAAGAATTGAATATAGACTGTCAACTGTGCTGCGGTTACCATAGGTTCTGGCGCACACCGCTGAAAGTGCATGTAGTTACGGTGCACGCGCTACGTAACTACATGGCGCTCCCAGCGGTGTGCGCCAGAACCTATGGTAACTACTGTATGGCTGACAGTCTACATTTAATTCTTTTTGTCTATGGCACTACATACAGTATATTTCTAAGTCTAACCACGGAGACACGGCATACCGTAGGATAAAATATATTCAATTACGGAATAAATTAACTTCTCCCGCTGTACCTCATCAGGGTGTGCGGTTCAGGCCGAGTCCGGGTAAGATGTTTAATTACCCTCCTTTAATTAATAAAGAGACGCTACACGGACTAGCGGGGGTGGTGGGGGGAGGGGAGGGTTGTCTGGGAAGCACGATAAATCTCGACAGTCGCGGACGCGGAGTCTGTGTCGAGTGGAGCCATTGTTCATAACCTCCAGACAGGCAGAGTTATTGCTATGCACACACTCACACTCACACACTTGCAGACAGACGAAACGATCCTCTCGCACAACATTAGCGAGTGAGAAACATTTAGTGTTCAAAAACACGTCCATACTATCGAAATTGTGTGGCTGTGCAGATTTTTCGTCACGCAAAACTCCTAAGAATAATGAGTTGAAATTTTGGATGTAGGCCTACCTACGAGTATATGTTTCGTCCCGTTTCGATGTTGTACACAGGGCTTAAAATTTTTGAGATTATCTTTATTCGCGTGACTCCACGGTTCACTATATTCTGTCATACAGCTGAACGAATAAAGGAAACATAATTAAATGAAACTAGTAAATAAATTAATAATTAGGGAAAACAATCAATTGTATGATACAATTGATTTAACACTGCTGTTTTTCTCTTTTGATGTTTGATTTGGCGTTCCAAATGTTGATCTACAAAATGAGACCAGTTCAGCCATGCTTTCATTTTATTTCGAACTCGAGGACATAAATATCAACAAGAGTCCGATAAGAATATCAATAGTTAACCTAAAAGCAGGTAGAGTAATAATGTTAAATGTAAGCCATTTTTTTATATTCTGTTTCAATATTGTAATAATTCTTGTTCACAGCATTTTCTATCACTATAGAGCACAATATACAGCGAAGGGAGCTGGTGGAAAATACAAGCTGTCGCACGACATTTAGTCGCTCACGATCCGCGGGTGATTTAGCGGCACACTACACTACCACAGTCGCTCGTGTTCGTACGTAGAACAGTCTCAGTACTCTCGTCCATAGTACACAACGTATAGGTAATATAGCCTAGAATCACAATAATACAGCGAAGGGAGCTGGTGGAAAATACAAGCTGTCACACGACATTTAGTCGCTCACGATCCGCGGGTGATATAGCGGCACACTACACTATCACAGTCACTCGTGCTCGTACGTAAAACAGTCTCAGTACTCTCGTCCATAGTACACGACGTATAGGTACTATAGGCTACAATCACAATAATACAGCGAAGGGAGCTGGTGGAAAATACAAGCTGTCGCACGACATTTAGTCGCTCACGATCCGCGGGTGATATAGCGGCACACTACACTATCACAGTCACTCGTGCTCGTACGTAAAACAGTCTCAGTACTCTCGTCCATAGTACACGACGTATAGGTACTATAGGCTACAATCACAATAATACAGCGAAGGGAGCTGGTGGAAAATACAAGCTGTCGCACGACATTTAGTCGCTCACGATCCGCGGGTGATTTAGCGGCACACTACACTATCACAGTCACTCGTGCTCGTACGTAGAACAGTCTCAGTACTCTCGTCCATAGTACACAACGTCTAGGCACTATAGCCTACAATCACAATAATACAGCGAAGGGAGCTGGTGAAAAATACAAGCTGTCACACGACATTTGGTCGCTCACGATCCGCGGGTGATATAGCGGCACACTACACTATCACAGTCACTCGTGCTCGTACGTAGAACAGTCTCAGTACTCTCGTCCATAGTACACAACGTATAGGTAATATAGCCTAGAATCACAATAATACAGCGAAGGGAGCTGGTGGAAAATACAAGCTGTCACACGACATTTGGTCGCTCACGATCCGCGGGTGATTTAGCGGCACACTACACTACCACAGTCGCTCGTGTTCGTACGTAGAACAGTCTCAGTACTCTCGTCCATAGTACACAACGTATAGGTAATATAGCCTAGAATCACAATAATACAGCGAAGGGAGCTGGTGGAAAATACAAGCTGTCACACGACATTTAGTCGCTCACGATCCGCGGGTGATATAGCGGCACACTACACTATCACAGTCACTCGTGCTCGTACGTAAAACAGTCTCAGTACTCTCGTCCATAGTACACGACGTATAGGTACTATAGGCTACAATCACAATAATACAGCGAAGGGAGCTGGTGGAAAATACAAGCTGTCGCACGACATTTAGTCGCTCACGATCCGCGGGTGATATAGCGGCACACTACACTATCACAGTCACTCGTGCTCGTACGTAAAACAGTCTCAGTACTCTCGTCCATAGTACACGACGTATAGGTACTATAGGCTACAATCACAATAATACAGCGAAGGGAGCTGGTGGAAAATACAAGCTGTCGCACGACATTTAGTCGCTCACGATCCGCGGGTGATTTAGCGGCACACTACACTATCACAGTCACTCGTGCTCGTACGTAGAACAGTCTCAGTACTCTCGTCCATAGTACACAACGTCTAGGCACTATAGCCTACAATCACAATAATACAGCGAAGGGAGCTGGTGAAAAATACAAGCTGTCACACGACATTTAGTCGCTCACGATCCGCGGGTGATTTAGCGGCACACTACACTATCACAGTCGCTCGTGCTCGTACGTAGAACAGTCTCAGTGCTCTCGTCCATAGTACACAACGTAAAGGTACTATAGCCTAGAATCACAATATACAGCGACGGGAGCTGGTGAAAAATACAAGCTGTCACACGACATTTAGTCGCTCACGATCCGCGGGTGATTTAGCGGCACACTACACTATCACAGTCGCTCGTGCTCGTACGTAGAACAGTCTCAGTACACAACGTATAGGTAATATATGCTACAATCACAATATACAGCGAAGGGAGCTGGTGGAAAATATAAGCTGTCACACGACATTTGGTCGCTCACGATCCGCGGGTGATTTAGCGGCACACTACACTATCACAGTCGCTCGTGCTCGTACGTAGAACAGTCTCAGTACACAACGTATAGGTAATATATGCTACAATCACAAT